GGAGTCCAGTACGTGTCACATCTCCTGGCTGTCCAGTGTTACAGCTCTGGATCATGACCCTATCCAGTGTTCTCTGCAAGTACTCGTGCCAATGTCCAGTGTCCAATAACGGTCACTGCATGATACAACATGCATGATCGGTCACTAATACAGTCACAACGGCCACAGAAATCCATGGTCAGTTAGGCTTATAAAGCCTTTTATGACCAAATACACTTAGTGCCTGCCCACTGACCAGACGGACTTGTCTGCGATTGATGACCAAACGTGGAGTGACAATGGGTGTCGACATCTTGACCGATTGCTCACTATTGATCATACACCGGTCAATAAAACATTATAAACAGATTAATTCTGGTGTTCCTCTGTATGGAATAGCATCGTACATGGAGGTGTCATCCCTACAACTCACAGGTTCAGTCACCAGCACAAGGAAATCAATCTATTGATATCCAAGGTATATAGTGGTCAATCTATTGATATCCAAGGTATATAGTGGTCGATCTATTGATATCCAAGGTATATAGTGGTCAATCTATTGATATCCAAGGTATATAGCGGTCATCAGGGGACGACCATAAAAACGCAGGAAATATTTTTTAATCCTGAATTTGTATTTTAGAAGTATTTGTTTGTTCTTTTAATATTTAAATTGTAATATGTTTGACCAAACATTTTGATAGCCTTTATTAATTCCAATGTAATATCTGATAGCTTTATATATCATGAATGATATATTACACCTAATTCTGTAAATATCCTGGAATATTCATAAGAGAATGGGCAAGTCTGACTTCAAAATGGATTGTTGTGACAATAAAAAAAAATCTAATTTGAGAATGAAAAATATCTTGTTGAAAGCTTGAGTGATTGGTCTTGTCAAACTAACAATGCTTTGAGCTTGGGAGTCTTGCACTTTTACAGCTCATTGATGGTGCTCATTGAATTGGTTGGCACATGTTAGGTTTCTGAATTATAGTGGTGAGACCTGTTGTATTCCGGTATAAAAATCTCTTCAATACTGGCACATTCATACAGTAAAGGTCACTCGGTGTAGAACTGATTACTTTGTAAGGAGTCATTATTGAACCAAAATACATTACTGAAACATAAACAGAGTGTGTACCGGAAAAAGGAAATGACTCAACTAAGTATTGGTCAATATATATACTATATACTGTGTATTGGGTCATCGGCTGTGGCCAGGTGTCAAAGAGATTATGATCTAGCTCTGTACCAAGAAACATGTAAAGGTTATTGCATGGTTTTCGAGTAACAAGGGATTTATTACACCCGAGCGAAGCGAGGGTGTAATAAGTCCCGAGTGACGAGAAATCATGCAATAACTGGCTTACTGCATGCTTCCCAACTCGAACAAAACAGAAAAGTTGGGTAAAAAATGTTCACCTGGACAATCTTTTTACCTACCCTA